TGCTTTTTAGAGCTTATTAACAAGAAAGCACGACCATGGTACCCCCACCTCCCCAGTGGCAAAGCAATTTAGGTCAGATGGGCTTCTCTAAAATGAATGCCTTTGCTTATTTGAGCAAATAAATGCAATCAAAGTTGCTCTGAAAAAATGCTAATATTCTGCATACATACTATCTTAAAAACTTGTTTCTGAACTGCTTCTACATGACAGACAAATTCTCAAAGCATGTTTTGCTGTCTTATCTTTGCAATGGGAGATGCCATGTCCAACACATACTTGTGTCTCTCGTGGGAGGCCCTTGCTCTGTGCACCTGTCCTTGCGAAATTCCACTTTTCACCTTGACATCTCTAGACATTCAGTCACTCTTCAGGAAAACCACTGTCCCTCCCTACGTTGCCTCTACAGAGTGTAGACTGAGAAGTTGCTAACTGCATAGTGCCTGGTTTGCTGTGTGCTCTCACTGTGGGCTTGGGCTGTGTCCAGGTGCCAAGTTACTAGAATTAAAACAAATGCTCTGTTCATCCACTCAGGTAATCTCCATGTTTGGCTCCATGTTGTGGTTCAAAGCCGCCGATGCCACTGGTCAGAGTGAACAGCAGGAGAAAGCTGCTCTCATGGAATGTCTGGGTATGTGTGCGCTCGGGCGTCACTCACCTGGATTGGGACTGTCTCCCAGCTCCAGCAGGGTGGGGATTGGGTTGCAGAGGTGAACAAAAGCCAACATGCCCCCCCCCCCCCGGCAGCTGCATATCCTGAGACGTGCGCACACTAAACATGTAGCTACACAAATTAGTCGTGCCACAAGACAAGCTGCCAGAGTGCTGCAAGTGGGTAGGTAACCCAGTCTGGAGACCTGGAGGAGGCCGCCCCCAGGCAGGCAGGGGATCGCACTCAAAGTTGCAGAGTGGGGGTGGGGGAGGGCCTGGATGGAGCAGAGGACGGAGCACATGTGGGGTGACCAGCATAAAATGAGGCTCCACACTGTAAGCCAAGTGACACTCAGGCCCGAGAGAAAAGGGAGGGACTCAACTTCAGGCAGAAAGCAGCTGGGAGTGTGGACTGGCAGGCTCTAGCACATGCTCAGGCCTTTGCTCCCAGAAGCACCTCTGGTAGCCACGAGAAAGTGATCCTCACAGCACTACTCCCAAGTGTGGAGATCCTCATCCTTCCACGGGCTCAGCAGAGCGGAGGTCACCAGCATGCACAGCCAGCGCAGAGACGGATTTGGACCCGAGACTCTCTGGTGCCAAAGTCCTTGGTCAAAGTGTTTTGAATCTCTACCCAGTTTAATCTGGGTCTTAGAAGATTTCTCATCTGAAGTGTGCATATGTGAAGGTAGAAAACGTCCCTGAAATCCATGATGCTACATGACACACACCACACACAGCAATGCTCCCACACCAGTAGACCATGCCACCTGTGTCATGTGTGTGTGCATCATACAGTTCCTCTTACTGCTTTTGTTCATGGAACGGCTCAGACATACACAGAAGAGGAAAGAATGGTAAAGCCACCTCTCCACAGGCCAGCTCCAGCAACTACCAGCGGCACCTGCCTGCCCCATCTGCATCCCATGTACCCCGCGCCCCATCAAGGTATTTTGAAGCAAACCCCAGCCCTCATAATTGTTTCACCTATAAATATTTCAGAATTTTCCTCTAAAAAGTAAGGACTCTTTCTGTAACTGAACAGTAATAACACATCACATCTAACAAATTTAACAAGTATACTTTAAAATCATTAGATTATCTAGTGTTTAAATTTTTCCAGTTGAATCTTTTAAACTGTGTGAAACCAAAACCAGGTCCAGACACTGCACCTGATGGATATGGCTATGTCTCTTTCCCTTCTGCGGCTTTCTTGTTTCTTCCTTGCAATTGATTTAACCTACATGTTCCCTGATTGGCTGAGCTAACCGTCATGTTGCCTGTGAAGCCGCCCAGTCCCTGTACTCCTGTAACTGGTAACTAGCCTGAGAACTGTGATCAGATTCAGGTTTAAGGTCCTTGGCAAAAATATTCCATTGCTGGTGTTATTGGCCTGTATAAGTCAGTGGTGTAGATCACACCATGGTGTTGCATCAGAACAGGTAAGCAAACGTACATTGCTCCAGAAGTTGTGACATGGGTTACCTGGACTCCTTCTCAGGGGCTGCTCACTGCTTTGAGGTTTACACAAATTTTTAAATGCAGCCGCTGCCATTCTCCACTGAAAGGAACCAGGGCTTACTGGAAAGAAAGGCACATTTCAGGCTGGGGTGGAGAAGGCACAAGAAGAGCCTGAGTAAGACGGTCTCAGGACACAGGGTCTGCCTCACGACATGAAGAAGCCAGCCAAATGACTCCCGCTGCTCACATGGGACCCTCTGAGCCTCAAACAGCAGTGACAACTGTGACTCACTGAGCAAAAAGTTGCTCAGGAAACCATAGTGACATGAATGAATGAACAAATGAAGGAATAGGAGTGCTTATCCTTACTGTAGAAAGCAACTGATAAGTGGCTGGGTGCAGTGGTTCACACTTTGTAATATCAGCACTTTGGGAGGCCAGGGCAGGAGGATAGCCTGAACCTGGGATTCGAGAGACCAGCCTGGGCAGCATAGCGAGAACTTGTCTATCAAAAAATCAAAAAATTAACCAGGCAGGGTGGCACATGTCTGTTCTATAGTCCCAGCTACTGGGGAGGCCGAGATGGAAGGATCGCCTGAGCTGAGGAAGTCAAGGCTGTGGTGAGCCATGATCATGCCACTGCACTCCAGCCTAGGCAGCAGACTGAGATTCTTGACTCAATCAACCAATCGATCAAGGCAACGAATAAGCATAAAAGGCATGATGGAATTAGAAAATCGCCACCGGACGACTCTTAATAATGAGACTCTTTGTCCTATTCTTGCAACATTCCTAGAAGTTCAAAATGAAAAGTTAAAGGAAAAACTCTAAGAAGGGCCCATAACTCCCTCACCTCCTCACTGTCATGTGGCCTCACCCAAGTACAGAGAAGTTGGTCCAAGGGGTGGAGCTCCATGGGGGAGACAGGGCTCTGTGGCCCCTTGCCTGGCCACAGCCTAGTGCGCAGACAAGATGCTGGCTGCCTGGGCCACACCAGGCGCTTCTCAGACCTGGGAAGTGCTACGGCCCAGCCCAGACCTTGCTCCCACTACCAGATCATCATTCAAGTGCTCCTCGTTCCTGGTGCGTATTGGAGGATCCTGGAAAACATCTGCGGAGTGGACATGGCTGGGCACTACTAAGTGATTGTGGATTGCAGTTGGTCTGAACACATCCTGGTTCTCACATGACTGTTCTTCTCCATGTGCCTTAGTTTCCCACTGCAAGTGGCAGAAGCCCTGAGGGCTGAGAATGGAAACGGTTTTGGAAGGGATGAGGGCCCTCCACCTGGCAGGCACTGGGCCTCCAAGGCTGGAAGTTTCGTGTCCCTGTGTACTCCCTAAGCAGGTTTGATTGCTTGACCCCGTTGAAGGGTGTATTTATTCCCTGATTTTATGAAATGATTGGGAAGATGAGACTGAGACTATCTTTAAGTCCTTTAAGGTTCCTCATGGAGTGGGCTTTGCAAGAATCCAGCATGTTAGACGCTCTTGAAAATAGACCATCCATTTGATTTCTGACCCCGAGTCAGGCCACTTCCGAAAGTGAAAGTGGCCCGTCATAATTGCTCCAGGCCATTGAGCGTTCGTTAGCTGGACTTTCCTGGGCAAACTGTGACATAGGTCATCCACTGTCTCACCAGATCTGCAGACCACCATGAGAAATGCTGGAGACTCCCTCGTCCATTCTGGAACATGCTGCCATGACCTTGAAAGTTAGTGAGGGAGGAGACTCAGGGCCTGAGTCTCCCTGATGCACCCTTGGGCCCCACGTGATTTCTCAGCATGAGTGGAATTACCCCTCTAGAAGTCTTTGCCTTGAAGTCTCTTTTCCAAAATAACAGCCAGGGTTGGTCACTGGGGTCAAGCTGGGTTTTTTCCTGGAGAGACAGAGGCACCAGCGGGGCTGTGGGAGCTCCTCATGTGGCAGTCAGCCCCATCAGGGTGCTGTGTCTTGTGTCAACTCTAGCGTGCCTGACACCATCATTTACTCAGGACACACACATACATGATGGGGACAGCACAGAGGCCACTCTTCGGCCTCTTCTCTGTAGCTAATGGCTTAGGAAGGTCCATCCCATGACTTGCCTCTTTTGACCCCGGAAAGAAGCCACTTCTCCCAGCGTGGACCTGTCATCTTATAAAGCTGGCAATCCACACCAATCCCTTGGGGCCATGACATCATACCAGTTATGGGATCTATTAAATCCCTCAAATCTTGTCAACAATAAGAAGCTGGGTTTCTACCCAAAAATGACCAATTGTTAAGCCAGGGTCTGGAGCCAGGCTGCCTGGATTTGAACATTGTTCCACCACTTAAGAACCCTAAGCTGGTAACTTCACCTCTCCAAGCCTGTTTCCTCACCTCATGAAGTCCCACCAGGGTCACTGAGTCAGTCCACAGCAAGTGCTTAGAGGGGTGCTGGCACAAATAGCACTCCCACTGTGACTATCGTCTGTGCCACCACAACCACAGCAGTCTTAGGAAGCCACTAACCTCTCTGAATTAACTTAAACTAAACTCGCAACCAAATGCAAGAATAACTGCTATTCTAAGGCTGCACAAGTGCCTTGTAGTGTTTAATCCCAAATGAGGCATTGTTCTAGTCCTCTAAAGAAATGAGACTCAGAGGAGAGAGGCTGCTCCCAAAACTTCTCAGGACCTGTCAACAGACACGAGGAGGCCATGGCCCCAGAGAGACCATGGCTGTTCACAAAAGTGCTGCTCGCCGGGTCAGATGGTCAGCGGGAGCTATGGTGGGGACAGAGGGATGAGGAAGCTTGCTTTTGGTGGCTCCAGTGAAGCCAGGGCTGAAGCTCTGAAGAGGGAAGGCCAGGCCAGCTCAGTTCTGGGGGAAAATGGGGTGCAAGGCGAGGTTGAGGAACCGGGCCTTCTGGTTGTTATTCATAAAATTTATTTTGGAAAAATATTTTAAAAAGGAATTTCTTCATTAACAAAACAGTAAAAAAACTCAAATAACATTTGCACAATATTCCATAAATACATTTATATACAAAAAATATAGTCACATAGACCCGAAGTGCCTTTGTACATATTTACCAAAATTTAAATTATAAAAAAAATGAACATCACAAAATACCCAAGCTTTACAGATATCATGAAAAATATTTTTACAAATCCAAAAAATAACACACATTTTTTTCCGTCTAGAAAAAGCACATTTTAGTATCAAAAAGGACAATAAAGGCAGTGTTTGTGTTTCTAATTCAAGAAAAGACTGGCTCATAAGAATCCACAATATACACTTCAGGCAGTGCATGCTTCTTATGGAGTAAATAGGTCCGTTCATTTAAATATATATCTCTTCAGAGCGACTGTCCATAGTGCAAGGGCGTCGTGAAGGCAGTGCAGCAGGCGCCCAGCCCGCGCGGCCCGTCGCAGGCGCGTCCTCACTTCGGGAAGAGAACCAGCTCAGTCTGGACTCAGTTTCTCAGCAGCAGTCTGGGGCCTCCCTTTCCTCTTCAGCAGCATTCGTTGGGGCATATATCCTTGGAATTTTATTTATTTTAAGAGAAATGGGAATTTTGTCATATCGCTTCCATGTTACACCTAGAGGGGCCGCAGGACAGGAGAGAGTTAATTCAAAAGGGCAAGACACGCTCAGGCTCCAGTCGCCTCTGCCCCAGGACTGGTGAGACCAGACTGACCTCGGTTGCTATGACGCACTCATCCTTCTCCTCAGATATGACATACACCGACTGGTACTTGGTGTCTTTTGAACTGGAATAGACCGAGTCTGGCCTTTTCCTTTCAGATGCTTCACCACTGAAAGGAAAACCAAGAAAGCCTCAATAAACACAAGAAAATATATTTGAATTGAGAAGGGACCAGAGTTTCAAGGAAGACCCCCCAGGAGCTCCCTCCTGATAACAGGACACCCCAAATGCTGGGGCTCCTTCCCCAGGCGGCCTTTCCACCATGCCTCTCCTGATAACACAGCACCTCAAATGTTGGGGCCTCTCCCCCAGGCATCCTTCCTGCCATGCCCCTCCTGACAACACAGCACCCCGAATGTCAGGACGCCTTCCCCAGGCAGCCTTCCTGCCACGCCCCTCTTGACAACACAGCACCCTGAATGTCAGGACACCTTCCCCAGGTGGCCTTCCCACCATGCCCCGCCTGACAACACCGCATTCCGAATGTCAGGGCACTTTCCTCAGGTGTCCTTCCCATCATGCCTCTCCCAACAACACAGCACCCTGAATGTCAGGGCTGCTTCCCCTAATGGGCTTCCCATAATGCTGTTCCTGACAACACAGCCCCCTGAATGTCGGTGCTCTTTCCCTGGGTGGCCTTTCTGCTGAGCCCCTCCTGACAACACAGCACCCTGAATGCAGGGCGCCTTCCCCTAATGGCCTTCCCGTTATGCCCCTCCTTCCCAGCCTGCAGCACGCACCCCCTGAGTGTGGTTGGAGTCCCCTTTTCCTCCACTGAGGAGCCCTGGGACTGGCACTTGGTGTCACGCTTGCTGTGTGCATCCCTGCCGGTGGCTTCGTCACCCTTGAGGTCCTGCACAAGGTTATAGTCCACCGCAGGGTAGCGGGCCTTGAAGCCATTCTTGTCGGCCCCGTGGTCCCCATGGAAGTCCGCCTTCTTGTTGGTGTTCTTGATCTGCGTGGCCCCAATGACACTGACCGAGATGTCCTTCTCACGCTGGCAATTGGCCAGGTTGTTCATGGTCTCCGTCTCCCCGCGGCAAGGGTCAGCTGGGGGCTGGCGCTTCTGCAGCCGGAGCCGGACACAGACCACCACGGCAGCACAGCCCAGCAGCAGCATGAGGACGAGGATGACCCCGGCACACACGGCCACCCAGGGGAACGGCCCGCCCTGGCCCTCCAGCTTCTCAGTGAGGTCCACCACTACGGGGCCTGGGGGTGGCTCAGGGAGCAGGAACTGGCAGTTGGGGCCCCCGTAGCCCCGGGCACACTCGCACACATAGCGGTGGCCCCTCTCGTGGCAGGTGGCCCCATTGTGGCAGGGTCCGTGCTCACACCGGCTGACGGGGGCGCTGCAGTTCCTGCCTGTGTAGCCGGGGGGACAGGTGCAGGAGAAGTCGTTCACACCATCCCGGCAGGTGCCCCCGTTCGCGCATGGAGAGGAGGCACATTCATCCACATTGGCATCACAGTGCCGCCCAGAGAAGCCAGCTAGGCAGCGGCACAGGTAGGCATCACCCAGGTCCATACACTTGGCACCTGGAACACAGGGACACAGGTATCACATGTCTCCTCCTGGGTTTGTGCACCAAAAAGTCATTCTGAAGTGACTACATGTATGTCACTGCAGACACCAGAGACATGACAACAAACCACAGATAGCCTGGACCTCGGTAAGTCACAGTTCAAGGCAACACATTCTATGACCTCAAATACAAGGTCACTTGGAGGTGTTTTAGTCTAGTCTATAGGCTAGAAATAATAAGGGCTAATGTCTCTCAACCAGGTATAATTTGACAGGCACCGTGCAAAGCACCCTGAGTGCTGGGGCTGCTTCCCCTAATGGACTTCCCATAATGCTGTTCCTGAAGACCTCATTCATCCACACAATAGCCTGGCAAAGGGTGTATGCCACCAGACCAATGTTATCAGTGGGGAAACCAAGACTCAAAGAGGATAACACACCTGCCTACAGCTACAGAGAAAGAGAAAAAAAAAGTCATTCTAGAATGTCTGACCCAGCTCCCCTTGCTACGTGGTTTTCTTGGCATAGCACCCCCTCACTGCTAGCAGGAGTCTCTCTGTCCACAGACCACGCCTTCTCATGCAGGGACACCCCAGACTGCTGTGTTGGACTGGATTGCCTTCCAAAAGCAAAGTGGCAGGGCTGGCATTTGGGTGTGACTCACTGAACTACCAGTAGCCTCAGGTACTGAGGAACACGTGTCCCTGAGCAAGTCACTTGCCTCTTGGCCTAGGTTTCCCCATAGAACTCGAGAACAGCCCTCTTGCCTACCTCCCTGACTCCCTGGGCACTTCCAGACTCAAAGAGAACGTTTCCACAGAGAACTCCTGATGGGCTGGAGAAAGGGGCCCCACCAACTCCGGGCAGCACACAGAGTGACATGCTCAGAATCAAACGTATGAGCTCTTACGCGTTCTCGGTGGCGACCACTCACCCAGGTGGCTGAGCGATCATCGGAGGTCCCTTACCATTAGCGCAGGGTGAAGAGCTGCAGTGATCAATCTTCTTCTCACAGTTGAAGCCAGAGTAGCCTGCAGGGCAACGGCAGCTGTAGCCCCCGTCCGGGCTGTCTGAGCACCGGCCCCCATTAAAGCAAGGGCCGTCTGCACAGGTCATGGCACTCAGCTCACAGATTTTGCCATAGAAGCCAGGTGGGCAGGTGCACGAGTAGCTGTTCTCAAGATCCTGCATGACAGGGAAGGTCGGAAAGGGCTTTCCAGGGCTGCTCTGAGAGTTCACAGCGCCTCAACACCAGGGTACCCAACCTCAGCTCAGAGAGCCCACAGTGCCTCGACGCCAGGGAGCCCAGCTTTAGCTCGGACCGCAAAGCCCACTCACCGTGCAGCTGCCTCCATTCCTGCAGGGGCTGGCGTCACACTCGTCAATCTCCAGCTCACAGGTGGCCCCTGTGTACCCAGGCCGACAGGAACAGGTGTAGCTCCCCTGGCCTGTGTTGGTGCAGGTGGCCCCGTTCTTACAGGGCTTGTGGTGTGTGCAGTAGTTCAGGTCTGTGAGGGTGGGGGCCAGAAAAGGAGGAGGCAAGAAGCCCCAGGTCAGATGCAAGAAGACTTCATTTTTCCAGGGACCAAAGAGCCAGGGAAGTCCCAGGCCGCTGGAAGGGACAGGCAGCCTTGGGAGGGAAGGCTCACCTTGGTTGCAGAAGAGGCCGCCCCAGCCTTCCTGGCAGTTGCACTGCCAGGGCTGCTGGCAAGTGCCATGCAGACAACCTGGGTAGCGAATGCACTCGTCACAGTACCGGCCCTGCCAGCCCACTCTGCACCTTGGGGAAAAGCAGAAAGGGTCAGAGAGTCGCTGACCACCGTTGGACCACAGTATACATCCTCCTCATGATAGAAACCGTCTCCCATGGCACCGTGAGCCACTGGCTCTCAGGGTAGGCACAATACTGACCCCCTTAGGAGCTTCAAAACACAGAATGCCTGGTCCCACTTCAGAGGTTCTGACCTCATGGGTGTGAGGGGCAACCCCAGGCGGCATTCCTAAGTGCTCTGGAGTGAGTCCAGCATCTGGCAAAGTTTGAGAACCACTGAACTCCATGATCTGTTTCTGTGCCAAGCCAACTCTTTTTAAAAGGCTATGTGTACATTCTCTTAATCATCAGGGAACTTAGATGGACGACAGCCCCATGACCTAAACACTGCCAGAAATTCACTAAGTGGAAACCAGGTACAGCCCTTGCTCAACCAGCTTCACTGGAATTTTTCATATGGGCACCTAGGGATGCTTACGGATAGACGAGTGTAGATGGATAACAAGAAAGGGCGAAAAGAGCCCAACACTCACTTGCACTCCCCCGGCTTGTCACAGAATCCACGCTGCTCATCGCATCCCGGCAAGCAGATTGCTGCAGGCAAAAGGAGAGCAGGGTTGACCTCACCCCAGAACCCAGCAGAATGAAGGCTGCCTTGGGTGCGGGGACCCAGCCTGCCCTTGCACCAGTGCATCCCAGCGAGTGTCCCTCCCGGTGTGGACTCCCAGGTGTGGAGCGCTGACCAGCCCCACGAGTGGCTCTGGACTCTGCTGAGCTCTGGAGGTGAGCATTCTTCTTAATACAGTGGCTCACAGACAAAAGGGCTCTCGGAACCCCCCCACCTCTTTCTTCTAAGAGAGGGTCAGAAGTCTTCCCCCCTCCTCCCCCACTTCCCAATTCTATGCACAAAGCTCCACCTCTTAATATCCCAGAGAGTGTGTGTGTAGATAAGAGTGGACAGCTGGTATGCAGGGTGCCAGGGCAAGACAGCTGCTCCATTGTCTGTCCCCCACGGCAGCTGCCCCAGCGCAACAATGCCGGCCTCCCCCGCGCCCTGGCCCACCCCCACACACACCCTCGGCTATGCGCGCGCATGCACACACACACACACACACACACACACACACACACACGCGCCCTTTCCGCCAATGGGAGCAGGCGGTGTCCTGCGCCAGTCCAGAGAGATCTAATCTACGGCACGCGCAAGCTGGGGGCAGGGAGAGGCTCCAGTGTTTGAATAAGAAGAAAAAAGTTTAAGTTTCTGGCTACCCCATGGTGAAGAAGAAGAGGGAGGGAAGCGGGTGGGAGGCAGCCGCCAGGCCCAAGATGCCCCAGGGGTCGAGGCAGTGGGCCAGGCTTCAAGCTGGTGCACTGCCCTGGTTATGAAACTCATTAACGAGCAGCTCCACAAGTTTTTAAGAAAACAGAACCAGCTCAGGCCAAGGCGGAGCCCAGGGCGTCTTCAGGCACAGGGGTCTGCAGTGTGGAACGTCGCACCACAGGGGTCTGCAGGCACCCAGGGGTGCGAGACCCACCCTCACTCCAGGCACAAGGACTGGGAAACAGCACTCCCATGCTCCCCCAGAGGTTCTGGGCCTCCCAGCTGAGGTCTGCCTACCCCAGGGCAGGAGAATGGAAGTTCACTGGGGTTTCTGGGCAGCCCTGGGGCCTATGCAACCCCTCACTCCAGGGAAATCCAGTACCAATGGGCGGGGTGGCCAGGCTTACAGATGAGGCCTCAGTGAGCAGGGGGAGGTCCAGATGGGCTGGAACCGGGCACCAACAAGCCCCCAAGTCCACCAGCCCCACCCTGGTGGCCGTGCCTACCACATCAGTACCTAATGGCTAGGCAGATAGAGCCTCTGTCTAGTGCAGCCTGAGCGCTAACACCAGATGGGGCACACACCCTCACCAATGCAGGCCCCAGACCCAGCCTCTGCACACCCACCTGTGTCCACAGGCCACATGCCTGGAAACCTGCCTTTGGACAGGAAAGCAAAAACAGCACACCTCACGGAATGTGGGGCCATGCATGCACTCTGGAGAGGTCACTTCCCCACAAGATGCCATCACAGCAGACAGAATGGATAGAAAGCATGCCTCAGCACGCACACACACTCTGTTCCTCCCTTCCTTCCTCCCCTCCCTCTCCAAAGCACATGCTCAGGGTAGCACTGGCTTTACTTCCTGACCCCTTGTCCTGTCTTTAAAACCCTCCCTGATTAAGCAAGGCAATCTTCTATAGGAGATAAACAGCGTCTTGTATGTTCAAACCTCTGAATTGACTCCAACCCTGTCCCTGGCTGGCTGTGAGGCCTTAGCAAACCACGTCTGCTCTCTGGGCCTCAGTTTCCCCACCAGAACATGTCTATGAGTCCTCTCCTGCACTAAATCCTGTGATCTCAATGGCTGAAAAATGCCTCGCTCTTGAAGGCCTGGGTGGGGTGGAACCCCAGGACTCACGCTCAGTGCAGTAGGGGCCTTTCCAGCCAGGGTTGCAGACTTTCTCCCCACGCTCCCCGCAGGTGAAGTGACCAAAGGCGTCATCACGGGGGCGGCAGAAGACGGAGCAGCCCTCCCCATAGTAGTGCTCGTCGCATACAAAGCGGTAGGAGTACTTGAGGTCCGTGCGGCCGCTGCTGTGCAGGTCCTGGGACCACTCCTCACCCACCGTCAGGTGCCGCTGGGTGGCCAGGCGGCTGATGAGACGCTCCGGGTTTTCTGGGGAAAAGCCGCTGGGTGGGCTCTGACCAAGACCCTGGAGACCTCGACATGGTGGGCCCAGCGTATTCGGGAAGAAACCAAACCCTCCCCCCCAACTCTGGGGCCAAGCAGAGGGAAAAAGGTCGAGCTCTTGGGGGTGGACAGGGTCAAGGGGATGTTAGGGAGGCAGTGTGCACGGTTTGAGGGCTTGGGGGCCTCGCATTTACCTGTGGCCAGGTCATCGGGAGAGTCAGTGTGGAGCGCTTCAATAATCAGAGAGAAGGTTCCCTGGGAGATATGGGAGGGACAGGAGAGAGACCAGAAACGTAAAACACAAAAACCAAGACTCCTCGAGACAACCAGGCCAGGACACAGGCCAGCGGCTGCGGCCAGCCAGCAGGTCTGCAGGGTCGTCTCCTGCCCTTTCTCGCTTTCCTTAAGGAAATGGAAGAACATTTTTAAGACTGATTTCCTGGCATATTTTCTCAGTCTGAGGTACAGGATATTATGCTTTTATTTTTTTTAAAGAGCGTGCAAAAGCAGATGGGTGGGTTGGAAGAGGCCGCAGGGCGGTTGTCATTAGCCTTCCGGGGACGGAGCTCGAGTGGGACTGCCAGGACGCGCGGTGCCAGGACCACTGCGCCAGGAGCCAGGGAGCGGAGCCGTCCTACCAGGCGGGCTCCTTTACCGGAGAGCTGGGCACACAGGCCAGGTACGCCTCGTCCCGCACCCCAGCGCGCCGGCGCCTCCCGCAGCTCGGGTCAGCGCGAGGTCTCCCCGACCCCGCCGCGAGGACGGGCGCGCCCCCACCCCTGGTCCCCGCCGCCTGGCGCCCCAGGGGCGCACTCACCGGCCAGGTGAAGCCAAAGGGGAAGCGGATGGGGTTGCTAAAGGCGGGGTCGGCGCCAGCGCCGTCGGGCAGGCTGAAGGAGTCCACGCCCAGCAC